GCCAAGGAAAGGGAGAGCTCCACAGTGCATTTCCTCCATCCTCCCCTTGTGTAAAGACCCCGACTCCTCAGGTTTTGGAGCAGCAAGAAGTGCCTTGCCTCAGTCTACCCTGGCTGCTGTGTCCTGGCTGCAGCACAGCCAGTGAAAATCCAAAACAGTTCTAGGGAAGTCAGTCAATTCCTGGAGACTGGAGGCTAGAGGAGATAGGAAACTATTTGCAGCTTGCCTGCAGCTGCTGACATGACATAGAAAAAGCTGGCTGAAGGCAGCACCATGTGCTACAGGCAGGCACTAATTCTGCTCTTAGTAAGAATTCTGACATTTCCTATTATCAGAGCTTCTTTGCAGTTGTTTATAGGACAGCAAAACTTTAATCTTTTCAGCTGAAATGTATCACCCATGTGCTTTCCATGACACAGGCAGTGCCAACAGGAGAAATTTTGGTTTTCTTAATTTTGTTATGACCTAGAAAGCTGCCCAAACCCCAGCTGTTTAAAAATAGCAAACAATAAAGCTAAAAAGTCTTGTGCCCTGGAGAAGTTCAAGCCAGCATTCCTCCAACTCTTGTGCAACTCTTGTGCCAGCCTGGGGAAGAGAAGGTTCCAGGGAGACCTTAGAGCCACTTCAGGCACTTCCAAGAGAACTGGAAAGGGACTTTGGATAATGGCATGCAGTGATGGGAAAAAGGGGGACTGAATTTATGCAGAAGGAGGACAGATTTAGGATTTTATGAAGAAATTCCTGCCTTTGAGGGTGGTGAGGGCCTGGCACAGGTTGCCCAGAGAAGCTGTGGCTGTCCCACCCCTGGAAGTGTCCAAGGCCAGGTTGGACAGGGCTTGGAGCACCCTGGGGTAGTGGAAGGTGTCCCTCCATGGCAGGTGCTGGAATTCTTCTTTGGGTCCCTTCCAAACCAAATCATTCTGCAATTCTGTGAATAAATGACCCACCAGGGCCCATAGGAAAGCTACCCTCCTTCAACAGCAAGAGGCCATACACTAAGGTGTATGTCCCAGAAGGTAAACCAATGTTTTTTGAGCTAAAAATGAATGTTCTAATGGGAAACAAAACCAGTTTGCTTTGCCATCCTCGTGGCAGCTGTTCTCCAGGAAGTTGCGACTCCCCTCAGTCTTCTCCTGAACAGACCAAGTGCCCTCAGCCACTCCTCACACAGCTTCTCCTCGAGGCCCTTCAGCATCTTCATGGCATCTTTTGGATGATTTCTAGTAGTTTAATATCTTTATTTTATCGTGGTGCCCACAAAGGCATACAGGAGCAGGGATGAGGCCGCTCCAGTGCAGAGCAGAGCAGGACATCCCCTCCCTTGCCTGGCCAGCAGCGCTGGGCCCGATGCCCCCAGGACCCTCCTGGCTGCCAGGGCACTGCTGGCTCATGTCCAGCTTGCCACTGACCAGGACCCCCAGGTCACTCTCCATCTCCCCATGGTGATGGAGACCTTGTGTGGGTTGTTCCTCTCTGGTGAGCAGTGGGTGCATCTCCTGGGGCAAACAGCTGCAGGGCACTGGGCAGCTGTGCTGAGCTAATGACAGCCCCTGGTGTGGGGGCTCTGAGGATTTCCTCTGGTTTGTGCTCTGCCCCCAGAATGAGTAAATAAAAGCCTCCTCATTTATTTATGATGCAAATAGCAACTGTGCATTCAGCTCTAGGATTTGTTATTATTTATTTAGAGCCTCTTGTCTCAGAGGCACTGGCAGTTTGCATGCAGGGGGCATCTGTCTGCCTTTATTACCCACAAATAGACATTTTGCTTCTTGGGCTTTGGCTGTTAATGCTGTTGAAAGTCTGCTGTGGAAATGTAAATCCTTCCAGGGAGACACAAATCCCTTGGTCCTTCCTCTTCAGAGCAGCCCCTCTCAAAATCCCAGCCACAGTGCCCCACTCTCATGGAGAAGCTGAACACTGAGCTCCTCTGGACATGAAGATTTCCACTGTGACAGCACCAGAGAGGGATGGCTAAAATCTGCCTGCAGTAGGTCCTTAGCAAAAAGCGAAAGGGAGGATGAGCAGGAGATGGATATGGGCAGGCACAAAAACAATGAGGCACTATTTGGCCAAATACCTTAGTGATGGCTCTTTGGAACCCCTTTCTCTCCCCCCACAATGGAAGACAGAGTGTTGCTGTGTGCCAGAAGTGCTGGATTGACACAAAAATCAGCTTTGTTGGGTTCCAGGATGTCAGGGATGGAAGTGATGCTGTCTCATGAATGTCATCCTGAGGCACCTTTAAATACTCCTGCTTCTTCTCAGGCTGATTCAGTTTTGGCACGTGGCTTTAGGGAGGTGGTGACACTCTTTTGGTCCATCTCAGGTCACACCCTTGGCTTTGACAGCTGCTGGAGCACGAGCATTCCTGCAGACAGCACCCCATGGGTGCAGGGATCAGCTCCAGAGCTTTGGTGAGCTCCCTTCTGGGCAGCATTTCCAGTCAGTGCAGAGGTGGGGAGGGCTTGTCCCAGGAGATGGATGAGCCCAGAGAAGTCAGGTTGTGATGAAGGAATCCTGTCCCTTCCTGCTGGCCACAGCTGTGGCACCATCACAGGACTCTGAGAGGAGCCAGCAGCTCACCCTGGCCCCCTGCCACCACCTCATTATCCACCAAGTCATCCTGCTGAAACACCTCAGTATCCTCTGCAGAAACCCCTTCCTTGTGAAATGATGCCACAGTCAGGGTTTTGGAGGTAAGAGTTGATTTCTTTGAGATTTCTTTTCAAAAAGCTGCATTTACCCTTTCATGTGACTGCCTGTCTCACAGTCTTAGGGCCTGTGAGTTGGAGTTATTTTCCTGGTAGTTACATGATGGGTTTCTGCAGAGTAATTTCCATCAATTAAGTCTCAGAACTGTGAGGTATAAATGAAGAATTAATTCCCACCCCATAGCACAGCTGGCCAGCCTGCAACAGAGGACGATTAAATCCAGACCTGGATGATCAAACTTAGCACCAAAGGAGTGGCCCAAGCCCCTGGTCCAAGCTCAGGTTGTTGTAGGTCTTGGATCTCTTCTCTTACAGACTGAGAAAAGATTGCCTTTAAGCAAGATAGATTTTGCTTGATTTAAGGCAGGATTTCCAGGATTTTCCAGAGCTTCACCCATTCCCATGTGTCTTCTCTGAATCCTTTTAGAGCTTCTCAGCCTACATCCCAAGGTGTGCAGCTGCAGGACCTTACACACAGGATTTGACCTAAGTTCCAGGTCCTTCGTGCAGCCACCCCAGTGGTTAGTGATGAAAACTGAAATTCTTTGAAATGAAAAGTCTTCTAGAAGTTTTTAGAGCTAGGAAAGTTGAGAAAAGAGGGACATCTAGGAGCCCCCATGTTTGGAGAAGTCATTTAGGGTTTGGAGGGACAAATGTGGCCAGATGGAGATAAACGGCAGCGTGGTTGATGTTGTGCCTGCTCTGTGTGTCCCAGAACACAAACACATCTGGAGGGGTTTGTGGAGGCACTCAAATACTGAAGAAAGCTGCACAGACAGGCCTTGGTGACCACCAAAAGCACCTCATGAGCTGGACAGGAGAGCTGGGATGGGCCTGGGCTCTGCAGTGGGGCAGGAGCCAGCTGTTGGCTGTGCTCCACAGACAGCTGGGATCACCCATGGAAAACCCTGCTGCAGCACCAGCCCCTGGGGCCACCACGGATTCTCCAGACACTTCTGTCTCTGGGCTTGGAGTCAAGCCAGAGAGAACCTCATTGAGGGGCTGGGATGAGCAGGGGGAAATGAACTCTTTAGAGGGCCATAAATAGCAGCTTTCATGAGCTGTCATTTCCCATTAGAGCTAACTCAATGTGGAAACACAGCGCAGGGCCCTGGCAGGAGAGGTTCCCTGCCTCCAGGTGCCAGCCAGCACCATCCACAGGCTCCTCTGGCTCCTTGGAGACTGAACCTTGCAGCTTGAACTGGCTGCAGTGACTGCAGCACCCACCAGCTGCAGGACCCTTGACTGGCAGCACGGAGAGGGAGCCAGGACCAGGACCTGGCTGGGCTGCACGTGAGCTGATGTGGATGGTACAAGTCCTGCAGTATCTAACCTGAGTGCAAGGATGCCAATCTTCAAACCAGACCTTTGCACAGGCTCCTGAAGCGTGGCAGCCTCCTGCCTAAAGGTGGCCAGGAATTTGATGTAAAAGCAGAAATTTTCTCCCATTGTCTTGGGGTACAGAATCCTCCTGAGCTGGCTTGAGGATCACTTTGTCCACCCATCTATCAATACCTCCCAAACCTGGCTGAATTTCAGTGCTTGCAGGGTGCTGTATAAAAAGAACAGGGGGGGATTCAGTGTCTCTGCTTCCAATTGACCGTGGGGCAAAGTGCCTGAACCTAAGGCCGAGGATGGAGCTACACCCTGTGTGTACGGAGAGCTGCAGGAGCTGTTGGTGTCATGTCTGGTTGGACATGGGTGTGGTGGTGCTGGAAAGGAAGGAGAGCTTGGAAAAGGAGTTTCCAGCAGGGAGTAACCGAAGGAAATTGGTAGTTTATACGCCAATAAATTGGAACTGAGATTACTAAGGCAGAGAGTGATTTTTACGCCCTGGAGCTCATTCATTTGCTCGTTCTGGGTTTGGGTGGTTGGCACACGAAAGGATGAGGGCCGAGGGCTGGGCATGGAAATCCCCAAACCCTGTATCTGGCAGAATTAATCACTGTTTTCTCCGAGCAGTGTGTGGGCAGCTCTGGGTGGTGAGCGGTGTGCTCAGCGTGGTGGCTGCTCTTACCCAGTGCCCAAAACCACACTCAGTGTCTGTGTGAGGGGGAGAAAGGCTGGGAGGAAGGAAGAGGTGGAAAAGCCTCACTGCTCCAAGGCCAGGCTGGAGATGGAGTAGAGAAGGAGGATGAAGCACAAATGACACTTCTGCAAGACCAAGCCCTACAGAGACAGCTGCTGCTCCAGTTTCGTGGGCTCTCCCCACCTGCAGCTCCCTCCAACCTTCCCTTTCATCCCTCCAATCTTTATTTCATTTGATTAACAAAAAACTTCTTCTCTCAGCAGAGATACTGGAGCACAGCCTACGGGTTGGGAGAGAAAGGAGGAAATAGCTGCAGCTTGGCGTCTCCTCTCTGACCAGCAGCCAGCTCCCTACCTTGGGATGGATCCAACAGGAGCACGGGAGCTCACATCCAAGAAACCCCAGTGCTCTGCCAAGGCCACACAGGTAGCAAAGAGCCTGATAGAAAGTCAAGTGAAACATCTGGGAGCCTTTTTCTTTTAATTTTTTCTGCTGCCTCCACTGTGTTTCAGGGCAGGAACTCTCTGATCCTCTGCACAGAGGATTTGCCAGAGCTCCAAATGCTCCAATCTCCAAGGAAGAACCCTTGGTGTGCACAAACTCACACCCATGTCCATCTAGGAAATCTGGATCAGAGGACAGCAACAATAATCCAAACCAAAATGTCAGTTGATTTATTAGAATCACAGAATGGGTTCTGTTGGAAGGGACCTTAAAGCTCATCCAGTTCCACTCCTGCCATGCTCAGGGACACCTTCCCCTGGCCCAGGCTGCTCCAAGCCCTGTCCAGCCTGGCCTTGGGCACTGCCAGGGATTCAGGAGCAGTCACCGCTTCTCTGTGCCAGGGCTTCACCACCCTCTGAGTAAAGAACTAAATTCTGGTTCAAAAAACCATCAGGACTGGTGCATTTTTGCCCAGGGAAGTGGTGGAATCACCATCCCTGGAAGTGTTAAAAAGATGCACAGATGTGGCTCAGTGGGGATGTGGTTTAGTGGTGGACCTGGCAGTTCTGGGTTAATGGTTGGATTGGATGATCTCAGAGGGCTTTTGCAAACTTAATTGTTCTGTGATTTTAGTAGGGGAAGTGAAGCATCCAAAATGCATCCAGTAAAGCTTTTTAGTAACTTTTCCTTTAGTCCTGAGAGATGTCTTACCCAGCCTAGGAAAAGGAGTCCTGCCATGAAATTTGACTGATTATTCCCTAATACCAACAAATAGCTTAAATAAATAATTTCCTACCAACAGAACTAGCAAATTCTGGTTTTGTGAGCCATCCAGCTGAGGAACAGTGACAGAAGCAAAATAAATTATTTCAGCAATTAATTGTGAGCAGGGAAGCAATCCAGTGTCAGTGATACAGGAAAGACACATGAAAAAGGAGAGAAAAAAACCCCAAACACAGGAAAATATAATTTAAACATCCACAAAGACATGCAAATTCAGGCACAATGAGGGAAATTTTCCTGTGGATTTTTCCTAATGAACTCTAATGCAAAGAGGAAATGAAAGAACTCTCTTTTCCACTCTCCCCCTTGCAGAACCTCGGTGCTGGAGTGGGGCTGGAGGGTGGGGGGATAGGGAGGGACATGTCTGCTCTCAGCCTGACTAGCAGGACTGTGTTTTTGATGAAATATTCTTGTTTGTTAAGCAAAACAAACAACTAACTCAGCAAAACTGGAATTTTAGGCAGAAGAACAGCCTGGATAAACTTCTTGGCTGAGTGGTTTTGTTTCTCCTTTTTTTCTAAAAAGGGTTTTCAAGATGATTCAGTATCTGAGGCCATTTATTCTTTGAAATAGAAATATCCAGTTTTCTCTGTAATACTTTTCATTTTGAATTGTAAGCTAAATATTCCATGAATGGGACTTCTCTGCTGAAGGTTTGGGAGAATTGAAACCAAATGTTTGAAAATTATCTATTCAAAAGGACTTGGCTTGACTCGACTCAGACAAGTGTTGCTTTTTTAAACTATAAACAATATTGAAATTCTGACTGTTTATCCCCATATGACTTGAGGATTGTTTACAATTTTTAGACATTTCTCAGGAACTGAAAACCTGTTTCTCATGTATATTTATGCTGGCAGCTGCTATCAAAAGGACAGCTCAGCTCCTTGAAAAGTGGAAGCATATGACAATTTTCTCTTCAGTAAAGCTGGTAAAATCTGGGCTGTCAAGCCAGGATGAATTTCCCAGGCTAGTGGGATAGTTTGGCTGTGCAGGCAGTGCTTGCAGGCTCCTTGGTGGCATTGCCCTCTGGAGTGACAATGCCCAGGGTCCAACGTGCACCTCGAACCCCTCCCTGTCCCCACGCCCTCCCCAGCCAGGGCACATCGTGTCTGGGAGGGGTTTAGGTGGTTCAAACATAAAACTCTGACTTCAGATGCCCATTCCCTGGGATCCCAGAGCAGCTGGGGCTGCCCCTGGATCCCTGCAAGTGTCCAAGGCCAGGTTGGACAGAACTTTGAGCAGCCTGGGATAGTGGAAGGTGTCCCTGAGCATGGCTGGAGGGTGGAATGAGATGATCTTTAAGGTCCCTTCCAGCCCAAGCCATTCTGGGATGGTGTGGAATGTTAAATCTGGGACCAGGCTCTGCTGGAAAAAGGTCAGTTCTGCTGTTTACAAGCTTTTCTAAGCTGGTGAAAGGCCAGACATGATCCCAGATGTGTATGTGCAGTCCTTTACTACATCAGCAGCATCTTCCAGACACCAGGGTCACTGCAGGCCAGGGAGAGCTCACATCTTGCTCACTCACATGTCCAGGGTTAATATCCAATTTATACAGGCAGAGCTGGCTGTGCCCTGAGCCCCAGCAGCTCCCAGGAGTCATACAAATAATTTCTTCATTTAACCTTGAATCTTCCCATTGTGGAAAATGAGGGAATGAGGTCTCAGGACAATGCTGGGCTTGAGCCAAAGCAAAGGGTAACAGTGAGGGGTGTTTTAAGTCATGGTGTGACATTGCCATTGGTTTTGTCTTTGTAATTCCCATGGCAGGTGGGTAGAGATGTTCCTGTGGGACAGGAACTTGGACTTGCAGCTTCACTTTGGTCCACAGACCCTGTCTGAACTCTACAGAGCTGATTAAAACCCAGCAGGGAAATGGTCCCTGGCATTCCATCAGATCTGGTGATGGGCTGGGGGCCCTGCTGGCTGCTCCCTCTGCCTCCCCCAGCCCCTCTCCTCTCTGCAGCCTGCCCAAATTGCAAAGCCATGGATCCCAGGAAACCACTGGTGGTCCTTTTGCACTGGCAGAGCCCTTGAGAGCTGTGAGTGTGCAGAAAGGTGAGTAATTAGATTGGTGACTGTGTTTGCCCTGTCGATAGGATGCGTTTGGCCTCTTTCCTCCGTCCTTCTCAAGAGAGTGTTCTCAGTCCATTGCCATCTCCTCTGTGCCCAGCCAGGGGGTCCCCAGCAGTGAACTGGATAGAAAATCTATTGATTCTCTTCCATAAGCCCTGTACAAGGGAAGGTAAGTGCTCCCCAGCCAATACCTCCCAGTCATTTCCTTTAGAGTGTTGCTCACACGCCCCAGATCACAGCGGCTGGGGGAAGAACAAAAGAAATGAGCTGGAGAAACTCTGGCCAAGCAAGTTTAACCCACAAATGGAGAACCTCAGAGAGGCTGGTGTGTCTGGGAAGAAGTACCTTCCATTTCCAGGACTGATCTGAGCTGTAGGGAGACACAGGTGGGGCTGACAAGCAACATTGAAGTTCCTCAGCTGTGCTGAGGCCCTGGGGTAACGCTCACAGCCGCGGATTTGGCCTCCAGGAGTTTCTGAGCTGTCTAAAGAACTGTGCCACGATGATGGTCATTATTATTGCTAATTAACCATGCTGCAGTGCAGGTGCTTTCCTGAGGGGCTTTGCTTGGCTCCCAGCACCTTTTCTCATGAGCCAGGGGGGCTCCCAGCAGCTTTCCTCATGATCCAGAGGGTTCCCAGCAGCTTTCCTCATGATCCAGAGGGTTCCCAGCAGCTTTCCCCACCAGTCAGGGGGCTCCCAGCAGCTTTCCCCACGAGCCACACTGCCTGCAGGGCATTCCTCATCCAGCAGAATTGGAAGGGCAGGGGCCAAGCCGTGTGCTGGAGGCTCGGCACGGTGGTGTCCTCCTCCTGCAGCTCCACACCCTGATGGATGAGGATCCAGAGCTGTGTCCATGGTGCAGGGCTGAGCCCTGGATTAACGAGACCTTTCCCCACGGAGCTGCCCCAGGATGGAGGCGCAGCTCCGATGGAGGCCGCGTGGACAGGCAGAAGATGAAGGAGAAATAACTCTTTACAAAAGCCATGGCTGGCCAATGTCTTCACTAATAAATGCTGTGAACTGAGGAATGCAGCCTTGCCTCTGCCTGGCTGAGCAGAATTAATTCTGCACGTTGGCTTCTCCAGAGTTTTCTGCCCAGGTGTCGTTGACTTCTTAGCGTCACATCGATATTTCTGTATTTCAGCAGAATTCTCCACTTCTAATCTGGATAGTCCCTTCTGGGTGGAGTGCAAACCCTAGATTGTTAACTCCGGATAATGGTAATTAAAAGAAAATAAAATCAAAGGTGCTCAGAAAAGAAATGGAAAATTTTTCTGTGGAAGCCAAAAGATTATATTAAACTTCGGTGGTTTAATAAAATATTATGAAGTTTGGGAGCATATTTTCCCTGGGACTTAATCTGTTTATACATCTGAAAAGGTAAATAGAATATCACTTTACTTGACCACACAGCAAACCTGATACAGGGGGGGCTTCTCCACTGTATATATTTCTTGAGGAATTCCTTTCCCCTCGGGTTTCACACCGTGCACTGTGATCTGGGACCATTCCTGAGCTACCCAGGTCAGGGGGAGCAGGAATTCATCCATCCCCATGGAGAAAAGCTGTGGACGTGGCAGGGCAGGGACAGCCAAGGGAGAATTGACTGTTTTTAGGGTTTTTGCAGGATTTGCACCAATCCATGGCATTGGCCTGGATGTGGTGGAAGACAAGAGGTCACGGGAACAATGCCAGTGATGCCACTGGGGAGTTCACAGGAGGCAGAGACGTGGAGGGAGTTAGGTTTAGGAGACTAAAATCAGACACAAATGGGTAATTTTGTGGTTTTCCCCCATTTTTCATAAACCTGCCCCCTCTTTATCCAGCTTGCTGCCACCAGCAAAAAGAGAGCACAGCCTCTCAGTACCCGTAAACTTTATTAAATGTGTGCTTTTTCATTCTTAAATTAAATTAAAATCAGGTTTTTTTCATACTGAAATAGCACCAAAGGGAGAAGGATGACAATATCACCAAGTGAAGGGGAGGGAGGAGAGAAAACCCAGAAACTGTTGAATACAATCAAGGAATTTTTTAATGGTTAGGAAAATGGGCAATTTTCCCCTTCATCTGGAGACTTGCTGCTGTGTGTGAAGTGTGTATGTGGGAGAAGTGAGAATCAGTGCAAGTCAAAATCACTCAGTGCAGGGCAGGAAAGACCAAATTATTGCTGGAAATTTGACTTTTTAGTGCTGCACCCAAAGGCCACCCTGGCAGAGCAGTCTCACACTCTGATCTCCAGGGCACCTTGGGGTATAAACTCCTTTTATCTCTGTAGATCTTTGAGTGGCAGCATTTCCACAGGAAATAGATATTTGAATATGATGAAATTCCCTGTGGCACAAAGTCAGCACCAAAGATGGGCACAGCAGCCCCATCCTTGCCCTTCCAGGAATTCCAGGATGGATTTCACAGCAGCAGGCACACGTGGCTGCCTTGTCAAACTGCACTGGTAAAGAAAACTCAATTTCTCTGGATTTTTCAGTTGAAACAGAGAGCAAAGAGCTTCCCCACACTCCAGGTTTGGCTGAAAGCTCTTGCTGCAGCAGGTCTCACCTCAATGACCTTTCTGAAATGGGCTCCATGAGCCTGTGCCAAGCACATCAACAGCAATGGGGGGAAAAATGGTTTTTGAAGACTTTGGGTCAATCCTTGTGCTGAGCTCACACTCCTGGGGGTTTCAGTGCAGGAGAGCTGTGGTGGCATTTGTGGCTGTGTGTCTCCTCCAAGATCACAGAATCATGGAATGCTCTGGATTGGAAGGGACCCTAAAGCCCATCTCATTCCATTCCCTGCCCTGGGAACTGGAACTTTCCACCATCCCAGGTTGCTGCAAGTCCAGTCTGGCCTTGGACACTTCCAGGGATGGAGAATCCACCCCCACTCTGGGCAACCCAGGCCACACCACCCTCACTGTATAAAAATTCCTTACCATCAGTTTGGCACTTGATGCTCATAGGATGCCTTGTAAAGGTTGGTGTGGGTTTGGTTTTTTCCTTCAAACAAATCCAAAATTTGGATTAGTCCTAAAATCCAAATGTTGCATTGTGTATAAGCCTAAGCTTCTTCAGTGCTTAATGGCAGATTTGATTATTGAGACCAGAAGCATTTTAATAACCTAATTATTTTCTCATAGTTAATGTTTTCATTTTTCTGCTTTTTTTTTTTTTTAAAACACTATAGAGGTTACTTTTTTTATTTAGAGCCACTTTTGATTTCCCCTCCCACACACGTGCTCAGCACTGCAGGCCCAGGAGGGATGTGGTTTTCAGTAGTTTACCTCCAATTCTTCTTAGGTTAAAACAATCTAAACTTCATGGCTGGATTTTCAAATAAGCCTAAAGAGTTTAGAGGCTTAAATGCTATTAGAGTTCAAAGCAATTTGGTTGCATGACCTCTTTTTAAAAGCCATTGTTCATATGTGGAGGGATTTTCAAAACTACTTATGGCCCAGATCAAAACCAATCAATCACAGATCCCTAAATAGCTTTACAAGGTGTGCAACAAGGTATTCAAACCCTTGGAAATGAGGGGGAGGAAAAGCTTGAAGTATTTAGGAGAAAGTATTCCTAAGTGGCTGAGCCTGATGTGCTGGGAAGAGTTTTTAAAGGCACATTTGATGGGCTTGTGCACAGATATCGAGGCTCTACTGATTTAATGCCAGGGATTTGTGGCAGGTGCAGATATTCAGCTGTAGGAATTGCTTGGTATTGCTGTAGCTTGTCCAATACGGGGAGACCAGTCTGTGGCCATTTAAAGCTTCTTTATAGTAGTGCAAATGTGACTGCATGTGAGGAAATAGCAATATAACTATACTGATTTTTTAAAACATCATACTCCGAAGTGATTTGTCTGCTGCTTTTGGCTGGGGTAGAGCTGGTTTTGTTCATAGGACTGTGGTTTGGATTTGTGCTGGGAACAGTACTGATAACCCAGGGGTGTTTTCATTTCTTACACAGCACCAAGGCTTTTCCTGCTCCTCCAGTGAGGAGGCTGGGGATGCACAAGGAGCTGGGAGGGGACACAGCCAGGACAGCTGACCCCACTTGGTGCAAGGGATATTCCAGACCATATGGCATCATGCTCAGCATATAAAAGTGGGGAAAGAAGGAAGCAGGAAAGTTTTGGAGTGATGGTGTTTGCCTTCTCGAGTCACCATTCCAAATGTGAGAGCCCTGCTGTCCTGGGGATGAGCATCTGAGCACCCGTGGGAAGTCTGGAATTAATTTCTTGGTTTGTTTTTCTTGCTTGTGTAGCTTTTGCTTCACCTATTAAACTGTCTTTATCTCAACCCACAGGTTTCCTTAGATTTACTCTTCCAATTCTCTCCACCATCCCACCTGGGGAGTGAGTGAGTGGAGCTGAGATCCCAGCTGGGCTCAAACCACAATTTGTCAAAGGCATGTCCATATTATTCCAGCCTTAATTCTCCTTGAAATACCAAAGAAATGCCACTCTTAAATCTTCTTTTCAGCTGGGAAGACCTCAGATTTTGTGCCTTGCTGGTGCTGGCACCATTTGGTTATGCCTGTGAGTGACTGATGCCTCATCCTCGCTACCACCGTGGTTTTTCCATTTGAATGAAAGAGCACAGCATGGGAGGGTGTCCATCCCCTGTTCCTGCCCCAAAAAGCCTTGCTCTTAGAATGTATTTCCCAGTAATTACCCTTTTATAATCCTTTTGGCTACACCTTATGCCCATTCTGAGCAGCACAGGCAGATTTCTCTGCTCACCTCCTGTGACACTCTGGGGAGACCATTGCCACGAGCCCAGCATTCTCCCAGCTTCTGATTTGAACTGCAGATGCTGGGAGGGACCGTGGTCTCATGGAGCCAAGGCTCTGTGACCATCTCTGGTCTTCTCATGTCATGTTTTGTGTGAACACTGAGGGGCTGAATGCAGGCAGGGAAGAGAAGGGACTGTTGGGGGTCTGTGTGGTGCCTCATCCCCCTTTCGGGTGAAAGCATCAGTGGAGGTAGTGAACATGGCACTGAGCTGTGCCACACCAGGACAGAGCACTGAGCACAGTCTGGCTTTGGTGCCACCAACCCATCACCACTTGTCCACCAGCTGGGGCTCAGGTAGAGCTTTGCAATGACAGCTGTGGGAGAAGCTCCTGGGGCCTCAGGGGTTGAATGAAGCCACTTTCACTCCCCAGGGAAATGGGCCTGGCATGCAAAACCCTGCAGGTCTTTTCAGGGGACAGGGAGGTTCCAGGACTCAGCATCTTTGGGAACAGAAGGTGTTGAGTAGGAAGGAGGTTTGGGGCAACCAGGAGAAGATGTGGCTCAACACATGCAGAGGAACTCAGTGCCAGGAGGCTGAGTGGGTCACCAGACTCTTTTCCTCACCTGAAGAGGTTGAAATGCCTCCCTCTCCCACAAAATTGTAACTTCTGATACAATTCTCTTTGGACTCTTTGAAATCTCTGCTCTGCTGGGATTTTATTAAGCTCTTGGCTGGCATGCAGGCAGAAAGTGAACTTCATCCCCAGGCTTCTTCCTAATCACATTCCTGGGGGATCCCCACTCTGTTTTACCCCCTCAGGTACTTTTCAAAGTTGTGCTCAGGAGAGGGAGCACTGCTGTGTTGTTTGTGCAGCACCAAGCTACAACTGGGTACTCCCAAAGCTCACAAATGCTGAAGATCAAGAGCCAGCAGATAAATGAGCCCATGGTAATAAAAGACTCTGCTTCACTAACAGACTTCTGTTACTGAAACATTTCCACCAGCTAAAAAAACGTGGTAAAAGAGATTTGTTTTGCCTGATACTTTTTAAAGCCCTTCACAACTTTCCAGCCCCCCCCTCAGTTCTCCTTTAGGAAAGAACTATTGTTTTCTCATTCCTCTTTCTGGACATGATTATTGTTCACTTTTTTCCCAACCAACCTTTCCTCCAGTCTATTTAAGACTGACCCAACTGAAAACATCCATCTTTATGGCTTAAACCACGTCCACTGAAGTTTCCTGCATATGCCTGGTGGGATGGTGGGTCCCCCCCAGCACCTTCAGGGTGTGCCACGAGCATCATCTCAGTGTGAACCTTCCCTCCCATCCCCAAAATCCCTTCAGATGGGCCCCCCTTAGAAAAAAAACCCCTTAGAAAACCATTTTTCTGTCAGAGTAGCAGAAGGGATGCAATAGGGAGCACTGGTTTGGAGCCAGCTCCTGTGAATGAGGCCTTTTGACTACCTGGCAATTTTCATTACAGAGTCGAAAGAATCATTTGTGTTCTTTCACTTTTGGCTACCAAGATTATTTTGTCTCAAAACAAAACAAAGGATTATTGGTTTTGGCTTCCTTAAGAGGAAAAATAAGTTTGGCTGATGAAAAGAGCTTGATTTAAGGGGGGTAAAAGTAAAACAAAAAATTGGATAAGTGGAAGCAAAATTCACCAAATGTTTCATGCAATAAAAAAATCCCCTAAGGTAACATTTGGAAAGCCAAATTAGGTATTAAGCCTCCTTTGTTTTATTGTCAAAAGTGGTGAGGTCTGGTGAAAATGGCACTTGCAAGCCAAAACCTGGCTGAACTTTCAGGAAGACTCTGAGCTACCCCTGTCACTTCTAAAAACTCTGCACCTGTGTTTTTTTACAGAGGCAGTGCTAAACCCTGGGCCCATTGTACCAACAGGACCAGGCTGCTGTTCACAACCTCCTTTTCTGGATGTAACAGCACCTTTCTCTGAGAGAAGAAAGGAAAAAAAGAAAAAAAAACCAAAACAAATCAAGAACAAATCATGTTTCAGCACAGCTATTTTTTTTTTTTCCCCCGTATTTCCCCCCTCTCTACTGATACGTAAAAAAAATATATATATTATATTATATTTTCCTTTTCTTAAATTATTTCTTTCAGCCTCAGTCCCAGCCGAAGTCCTGCCCTGTCATCTGGTAGAACTTCATGTTGAAGGGCCGGTAGAAGTCCCGCAGCCTCTGCACCACCTCCTGGTCTATGTCAGGGTGGGTCCTGCCTTTGGTCTTCCCCAGGCAGTGGGGTTTGCTGCTGCCCTCCGCCTTCTTCAGGCATGGGAAGCCCTTGGTTTTGTTGAAGTAGAAGTGTTTGTCAGTGATGATCCTCTTGAGGCCCAGAAAGTCCTGGACCTTGCCCAGCTCCCCTGCAGGGTCGCTGATGAGCCTCTCCCCGCTGACAAAGAGGATCTGCCCGATGGGGAAGTAGAGGAGCCAGTTCTCCAGGTGCTTGGCATAGATGCCAATCTGGATGGCGCTCCATGAGGTGTCGATCAGGCCTGTAGTCCTGTTTTTGAAGGTCAGACTCTCAAAGGTGGGGATGTCAGGCTTCTTGGAGAGCGTCTGGGTGTAGTCCGAGATGGCTCTGGTCACGGGGTCCCGCACCACCACGATGAGCTTGGTGCCCTTGGACATGGAGGAAATGCGGGCTGGGGCCTCCTTGGTCACAAAGTAGCTGGGGGTCTTCTCCATGGTGATCTGTCCCTCCAGTGTCCTGGGCATCAGGTCCCTGCCAGAGAGGGAACGAGGGACACGTTAGTGCCAAAATCCCCCGGGCAGGGTCAGGAGCTGGACGTGGGCAGAGCTCTTGGGGATGTCCTGGGGATGAAGGGCAGGATGGTCCTGAGCCTCCTGCCTCTGGCCCAGCCCTTCCCTCCTTGCATTTATCATCAGGAGGCCCATAATGCTCTGACTCTGCAAACACCTGAACTCGTCCCTGACTCCCCACTTCCTCTCACTGCACATTTACCTGGAATTAGACCTGAATTCGTTTTGCCTGTTCAAGCCCTGCCCTCTGGATGGGATCCCACCTCCTTCTTGAAACAGCAGGAGCACATCTCAACCATCCCAATGCCCTATCCCTTTAAATTCCTCCCTGCCCACACTGGGGTTTCCTGCACAGAGGCTTAAATTCCCTGGAATAACAATGAATTCCTGGAGCAGCAACCCTCCCTTCCTGTAGGACAGAGGAATTTTCAAGGGCCAGGATGCAAGACTTTATTTTTTGGCATTTCCAAGGAGGCAGCAAGTTGATGCCACATAAAAATGTGCAACATCAGCCCCCTGACCTCAGCAATTTCCTTCTTTCACCCAAAGACATCCTGCACGCTGGCTGCTTCGGGGAGTTCTGCATTGAAGTGGGAAGGGGTTGGGGGCAGATCCATCCTGCTTCATGGTCCCCTTGAGAGTTCAGAGCCCTCCTGGGCCAGGATTGGGTGTGATTTACTACAGAGCCACAGGATTTGGTGGCTGGATACCCTGAGCTCCTTCATGTTAAACAAGGCACACCAGGAAGGTGTAGGAGCCCTAGGAGCAGGTGAGTCCCAGCTCCTCTCCCTCTCCTCCTCATGCCACCTGCATGGCACACCACATCCCAGCCCCTCACACCCTTCACTCCAACACCACACCCAGGCAGGAGCATCCACAAAACCCCGGGTTCCCACCCCCTCCTTTGCTTACACACAAATCCATCCTGCCCCCCGATGCTCTTCCCACAGCTCCCATCCTTCCCGGGGGAATGGGGGATGGATGGGGCTGGCTGCAGCCTCAGGGAGCTCCACACCATGGCAGCAGCAATGTTCTCATGGCAATGCAGCCCCCCACACCCCAACCCCCTGCCTTGGACCCCGTGTGCGAGGGAACTGCTCCCGCTGCAACCATCGGGCAGCAGCAACATCTGCTTTGCAAACCTGTGCAATATGCCAGCAAAATTGAAGCCATCTATCAAAAAGAGCAACAATGAAAAGCCAACAGCAGCTAAAAACAGCAATAATAACCAAACCCCAGGCTGTTATGTTACAAACGAGAGAGATCAAGGAATGGCCCTTCCTAGGCCAATTCCCTTTGCAAACACCTCACACGGGGCTGAGCGAAGACACGGGCCCAGAGCAGTCAAACCTCTGCTGAGGGTTCCTGTCTGGGGGAAAATCCAAGAATTTGGGACATTCAGGCTGGGGAATAAGCAAGCTGAGGAGTGTGAAAGACCTCTCGTGCATCCTGGAGGATGTGAGGATGAATCACTGCTGATAATAAGTGTGGCATTTGCTGAGCAGGCACATAATTCTCCAGTGGAATTTGCCATGATTTTTTGCCAGTTTGCCTGATGCTGCAAAAGACAAAAGTGTAAATGGTTTAGAAACAGGCTGGCCAAATTCTTGGTGGCTGAAATAAATAGAAGTACCAGAGTCTGAGTGCCCCTTCAGCTGTGGAAACCCCCAAACTCCACTGCCCTCAGCTGGGAGGAGGTAACAGGAGGAGACCTACACTTTGTACATCTGTCTGTGGATGTCTGATACCATCTGGAAGGAGGCAGGACTTCGCTCTGGACCTGTGCAGCTGGTTCTGCTCAGGGCAGCCTCACTTTTGACAGTGGCATGGAGTGGCAGATAGGAAAAGGGGTGATGGCTTTAAGCTGAAAGAGGGTAGATTTAGATTGGATATTAGGAAGAAATTCTTCCCTGTGAGGGTGGGAGGCCCTGGCACAGGTGCCCAGAGCAGCTGTGGCTGCCCCTGGATCTCTGGAAGTGTTCAAGGCCAGGCTGGATGAGGCTTGGAGCAACCTGGGATAGTGGAAGGTGTCCCTGCCATGGCAGAGGATTGGAGTGGGATGACCTTTAAGGACCTTTCTAAACCAAAGCAGTCCATGGTGATTCTAAGAATCACTCTTTTCCCCCTCATGCACCAAGCCCACGTTTCTCAGATGTGCTGGTGTTGCCCTGCAACTACTGGGAGCACCTGAACCCTTGGAAAGGTGAAGAAACCAAGTCTGGGGAAGTCCCTTCCCCAGTGCCTGCCAGCTCCATCCTGCTGGATGCTCACCCTTCCCTTCAGCTGCACTCCCACTGCCCTGGCTGCAGCCCCAAAAGGGGGCTCAGGTCTTCACACCTGTGGGATAAAGGAGTCCCACAGAGCCCGTGGACACAATGCTGGGCTCTCCCAGAGGTGCTGCTGGTGACTCTGGCAATCAGGACCTTCCCACTGCACAGCCTGTCAGGTGCTGAAGGGTTATGAGACCCCAACCCTGCACCCCAAAACATCCTGGGCTGGGGACACCCTGCTCCAGCTGCCAGGTGCTGTCTCCATCTTTGCCACAGGTGCTGGTCCAACCAGTGAGACACACAAAGAAAAGGTGGGGAAGGAAAAACCCCTGGGCAGGTGTCAGAGCATCCACGGAGCCTCCCTGCTTTCATGGCTCAGGATGAGCCGTCAATGGACGCGATAACAAACACCCCAAAGCAGAGTGCAGAGGGGAAATCTCTCTGTTAGCTGTGCCTGATTTTCCTCCTGAGCAATGTCCAGGGTCTGGCTGGGGTTTGGGGCACCCCAGCCTGAGGCAGTGGTGGGAAAGGAACCCTGTCCTGGTGAGAAGTGCTGTTTTTAAGAAGTTCCACTGAAGGGCAATGCAGGGAAAGCTGTTATCTAAGAAATGCCCCACAGCTCTGCAATCAGCTGTGGGACCTTGGCTCCTCTGAAAAGGGTAAGGAAGGGCCAAGTCTGCTCCCAGAAATGCAAGACAGGGTGGATGGGACCCTCTAGATAAGGTGGAGTAGCAGGGCAGAGAGGGAAAATGAACTGTCTGAGGGGGCTTATTTCATCTCTGACTTCTCCACAGAAACAGTGCCAGGATTTCTGTCTCCAGGAAGGGGCCAGACACCGTGGTGACAGGCATGTGACAGGCATGTGACAGAGCTGGCAGCCCTGGGGGAAACACAGAGCCTTCTCCATCATGAAGCTATCAAACAAGGAGGACAGAGCAACTGAGGCACAGCCAGCATCGTGGCTTGGTGCAAGCTCACACCCCCAGAGGAGTGTGTGCTGCTCCCTGGACCACTGCTGCCACCAGCAACTTGTCTTCTTCTTCCCCCACCAGCTCTCTTTTTCTTCCAAATCATTTTAAGCACTGACTCTGCAACAGGAATTTATAAAAAACCCAAAAGTCGCTCTCACAAGCAGTCAGTCCCCTTCCCCCACCTCCAGCCCACACTCCCACAAGTACCATTACAGCATGTTCAGATGATTGAAAAGAAAGATGCTCTAGCAGGAGTGATAACTTGATGTAACCAGGAGCGTGTATGGATGGATAAATTCAAAAACGCTGCCTAAAGAGATTAATTCCTCCCTCCCATGAGGCCAGCTGCTGAGCCCAGGGGCTGTGCTGCCCCAGCAGCTCCCACAAGGCTCTGCATTTGCTTTGATGAGCTGTGAGTGTACACAGGAGTCAGCTGAGCCTCCTGCTCTGCCTTCCTTTAGATCTCAGGTGAAATCGATACACGGAAAGATGCACTTCAGGAAACTGAGAAAAATTTAAAAAAACCCAAAAAAAACTCCATGAGAAGCTGTGAGACTGAGGAAGCTGAAAGGAGAGGGGCAAAAGATCAGAGAGGTCTGCAAGGAAAATCACTCATTGTGTTGTTGGATGGAAGATCAAACCCAACTGGCATTAATAGCAAAAGGACACCCTTGCCACTGATTTTAATGATGGATTGAGCTGAGCTTGGAGCAAAGTAAAAGGCAGGAATAGTCCTAGGAGAGGACAAGGAGCCCTGGGTGTCTCCTATCCTCACCCATCCTGCTGCAGAGGCATTCTCTCTGCATAAAGACAACGCTCAGGGAAATGCTGGTGCTTTGGAGGGATCTGTGACACAACTGCCATCTCTCAGAGGATGCTGCAGCCTCACAAAACAAGTCAGGGGCCTTGGAATTTCCTTCATCCCTGCTGTCCCACCCCCACAGAAGCAGTGTGTGCAGGATGTGCCTATCACCTGCTGAAATACTCCTTTTTCTTTAGGCTGTGGTCAGAAAGGTGTCCAGCAGGATTGCTTCATTTCCACCATCAGGAAACCATTCCTGGATTCTCTGCTTCCACACACAGTCCCTGTGCCCAGTGCAGTGAGGGCCCTCCCAGCAAACAAGTTTTTACCACCTCCAGTACCCCAGAGGAGTTAGAGCATGAAGAAAGTAGATCAGCTATTAAGAAGATATTCTTTACTATGAGAATGGTGAGATCCAGGCTGCCCAGGGAAGTGCTCAAAGCCAGTGATGTCTTCAGTCAACTGTGATGGCTCAAGGAGATAAAACTTCACATTAAAGGTGAATATCCAAGGTAAAGCTGAGCATGGGAAATATCTGATTGTTAATCTCAAATAAGTCCAAGTAAGCAAAGAAAACACTTTACTGAAAAATGTTAGGAAGTAGAATAAATCTCAATGACTGAAATCTCGAAGGAAGTTTTTTTCTGTTTTTTACTGTACATTATTGAGCAGCACAGATTATTTTCATTAGCAGGTAGAGACCCATGGACATCATGGAAGATTAGCATGTTAAAAATTATTTTGAATAATGTTTTACAGGGCTTGGAGCAACCTGGGCTAGTGAAAGGTGTCCTTGCCCAAGGCAGGGGGGCTTGGAATGAGATGAGCTTTAGTGCTCCTTCCAACCCAAACCATTCAGGGGTTCTGTGAACCCGGAGCACTGAGCTGTGCTGGGATGACAGGGACAGCTCTCAGAGCA